ATCTAATAATAATTCTAATTCCAATTCATCCAATAATAATAATATCAATAATAATAATAATAATAGTCAAAAACAAGAAAAAGAACAATTTAATGAAATGTATGAAAATATAAATGAAATTCAAAATGGAAATAATTTATATATGAATATAAAAATAATAATTAAATTATATGAAATGATATTAAATTTAAAATTATTAGAACCATTTATAAAAGAATGTAAATTAACATCAATAATATCAAATATGGAATGGAATGGAATTGGATATAATCCAAATCAAGTAAATGAATTAATTAATATAATTGAAAATGAAAAAAATGAACAAACTTTAATTTTACAAGAATTATGTAATATTAATAATTATTCACATAAAAAAATTAAATTAACAAATAATAATGATATTGCTTTTATTTTATTTGATATTTTAAAAATGAAACCACCACAATTAACTATTAAAAAAGGAAATAGATCTACTAAAAAGGATGCTTTAAAAATATTAATGATTGAATATCCAAATTATAAAAAAATTATTGAATTAATAATTTTATTTAGAAAAATACAAAATATTTCAACTAAATTTACAATTGATTTTTTTAATAAATATATTTATCAATATGATTATAATTTAAATAATTTAAATAATAATAATAATATAAATAATATAAATATAAATAATTCAAGTAATAATGTAAATAATAATATAAATAATAATATAAATAATAATATAAATAATTCAAATAATAATAATATAAATAATAATAATAATATAATATATTTAATACATTCAACACAAGAACAAAATTCAACATCAACAGGTAGAATTTCATGTAAAGAACCAAATTTACAATCATTACCAAAACCATTAACTTTTTATAGTGAATATAAAAAAGGAAATTTAACATTTAATACAAGAAGTGTAATTAAAAGTACAAATGATAATCAAATATTATTATCAGCTGATTTTTCACAAATTGAAATTAGATTAATTGCACATTTTAGTAAAGATCCAATTTTAATATCATTACTAAAAAAGGGAGGTGATATATTTTTAGAAATGGCTAAACAAGTATTTAAAACTGAAAATGTAACAAAAGAACAAAGATCACAAATTAAAACATTAACTTATGGTATTTTATATGGAATGGGTGATGATAAATTATCAATTGAATTATTTAATTCTATAAATAGAATTGAAGATGCTAAAAAATATAAATTAAATTTTTTTAATCAATTTAAAAATATTGAAATATTAAAAAATGAAATTGAATTTAATTTAACTAAAAATGGATATATTGAAACTATAAATGGAAGGAGAAGATATTTACAATCAATTTATTCAAATGATTTAAATGAAATTTCTAAAACTAAAAGACAATCTTTTAATTCAACTATACAAGGATCAAGTGCAGATATAATTAAACAATCAATTATAAATGTACATTCAAATATTATTAAATTTAATTTAAATATTAATTTAATTTTACAAATACATGATGAATTATTATTTCAAATTGATAAAAATCAAATTTTACAATCTTTTAATATTATTAAAGAATCAATGGAAAATTCTTTTAATTTACTTGTACCAATACCTGTTAAAATTATGATTGGAAATAATTGGGGAAATATGAAGGAAGATTTTAATGAATTTTTATAAATTATTTAATAATAAAGATGTGTTTTTTAAAATGATAATAGCAATTGTCAAGTTGGTAAAATTCAAACTCGTCCAAATTATCAGTGGGCAAGAAAGAACAATGTCTGTCCATTATGATTCTTTTTAAGAGATACAAATGGTAGAATTGCTGCTTTCTGGCAAGAGAGCATGATGTTAATTGTTTTGGGAATGATGAGAGATAAGCCATATACGATAATCATGTCCAGTAGCATATAATATTGAGTTGTGTTAACACCTTGTGATATTCGCTCAATAGTGGCTCAACTGGGAAATCTCTCATCATGTTGTAATGCAAAATTCCACTTACTGTTATAAATGGTTATAAACATGAACAGAATTCAAAGAGCAAAATGATGCACAACAAAAGAAGTCAAAATGCTGTAAATGGATGGAAATTTCTATGCCAAAATTGCTTGTTATCTTTTATGTTTTATTAAGCTGAGAATGAACATGAATTCGTTAAATTTATAGACCATCAAGCATGCCAATAGATGAAAAACGGACCAAATATTTTATTGAGAAGTCCCCATTTGGCAATCTATGTGGCATTCTTAATTTTGAACATGTGCTATCATTATTTAATAATCGAAAGACTATACTTCCTTTTTATTTCAGGTACGGCTGGCTTACATTGAAGATATAAAAATAGCAAAATTAAATAAATCAGTACGACATCTTATATTCACGTGTACTCACACTCAGAAATAACCAATGGCATAGATACTTACGGTAAATATCTTAACTGTGTACACGTTTAATTTTTACAGAAGACCAGTATGGAACGTATTGGTTGAGGTATTAATAAGTTTCAACATTCGGTCATGCATAAATTTCAACAATCCTACCCCTTTCACACTAAATATCATAAAACTAACCGTAGCGCGGTCGTATATGTACCACTTACCCTAAGTAAGGTTAACAACATATATCGATTAACACTGTTCCGGTACCGTATTCGTTACCAGCATATTAATGAAGTATTTGTATCAGTATACATTATACTCCATACATCCACGACACTATTGACTGAATATTTAGCAGTATTTTGAACAACATTCTTTATATGTCGTGAACATAAGTTTCTGATAACATAAAATAGATTACCTGATTTATATGGAACAAAAGCTGACAAATCATGGAAGGGATGTTGGCGTTAAAGATTAGGTGAGGAAATCTCAATGTTTGGAATGATGGTATTCTGCGTTCTTAGAAGCTTGTCGTAGTGGTTTTGTGTAAAATAATCTTTCCTTTTTACTTTGTTGTACCAAAAAGTTGTTTCATTGCATTTTGATTAAATTTCTTTCTTCAAAAAATATGTTCATTCTCAAAATCTCTTCAAAAGCATCAAAGTTATTAAGCCGTGTTCCTGAAAACACCCTTAACAAAAAACCACTTTTAAAAACTAGTAATTTAATTAACAATCATCAACTTAAACACTCAAGTAATCAGATTTTGCTTCCATTAGAAGAAGTAAACATTTTTATGTTGATAAAACTATTTTATTTCCATTATTGGAGGGAACAGGTAAACAATTATTTTTTGTTCGTCGTCCTAGATGGGGAAAATCACTATTATTATCAATGCTTCCATCCTATTATGATATTAATAAATTGTCCAAGATCAGAACATGCTTTATTTAATTCAACCCAATCATTATTCTTGTTAAATAAGATTGTAAATGATAAACATTTCAGAAATGTAATTCTAAAACAAGAAGAATAAGTGATATTACCATTTTATATGATAGTAATAATACTGTAATAAGTAAGAATGTATTTGCTACATTACCAAGTATTGTATCCAAAGATATTATTCAAAAATTACTTTCAAAAGATTATGTTTCAGTTACAGAATATATTTATCCAACATTAAATGTAAGGGAAATTATTAACCCATCATTAAATGAAAAATATCAACAAATAATTCATGATCATACTTTATCATTTATGTATTATTATGGAATGATTACTTTGACAGAAGAGTCATCAAAACAATTAACTCCAACACAATTATTAATTCCAAATGAAATTACAAAAGTTCAATATTTAAAACAATTAACAAGATTAATTTCTTTAAATCAAAATGTATCATCTATTATTAATGATCCAACACAAGATAATTTGAAAATCTTACTTTCTACAATTATAAAAAAACAAGAAACTATCAATGATAACTCAATGTCTGATGGAGAATTACAAACAAGTATTGAATCTGCTTTAAGAGCATATTATTTATTTGGAAACAATGCAGAAAAAGAATATCACGTTATCAACAATTCCAACTTGAATGTGGAGATTATCAAACGTGATGCTGATCTTGTGATTAGAACTTGTAAAAAAGTTGTAATCATTAAATTCAAATATATTAGACCAAATTCCTTAACAAAATATGAAAATATTAAGTATTGGACTCCACAAATACATAAAAATATATTTAAAGATTTATCTAAATATTCAGATGAAGAATTATTGGAAATGGAAGTAATTACAGATACTAAAGAAAAAGTATTAGTAAATTCAATTTTAAACTCTGCAATTTCTCAAATGAAACAATATAATGATCAATATGAGATTGATAATTCAAAAACCATTCATAAATTTGTAGTGTTTCAAGTTGGTTGGCCATTGATAGTCAGAGAGGTGTTTCTGGTATTGTTTCAACATTTTTCATCCTTATATTTCTCAGTTCTTGTTGAAATACAGTTTATGATTCCAATCCAACACACAACGTTGTTGCTAGAGGGGATATGACTTCTTTCTTTCTTCTTCAACTGGGTGTTGTCTCTGTGTGTTGGATTGGAATCATAAACTGTATTTCATCATCGAATTGTTGTTCTGCAACTTTTTCTTCTTCTATCAAGCAAACTAATAAATTGATCATGCTAGTAATTACCATATCACACTCTCTCAAGTATTCCAAGGGATTGTGACAACTTGCTCCATCTTGTCATAAATTGTGTCAGAGTGAAAGCATTTAATGAATTGGTAGAGTCCATCATTGTCATCATTGTGCGTATCACAAAGTGAAACCAACATGTTGAAGAGACAAAGTGGTTTGTTTTTGTCTTCTTCAATTTATAAGAGTTCAAGCTCAGTTAAGTAAATAATTCAGTAAAGTGAATATTGAAATTGCTCAAGAAGAATTATCTCAATACGTATTTATTGCTACTACAATTACAGATTAAACGTGCTCAATAAATTAAACACTTCTATGAGGGTTTGGAAAATGTTGTAAAGGAAGCATCACGTTTCGGAAATTAATCAAACACATTCATATAGATATTGACAATAAACTATTCTCTCCGAAACGTGATTAAAAAAAAATGGAGAATGATGAAACATTGATAGAAATTGAATGTGATGGTACAATAACACTGGAACATAACGGTCAATTAATAACAATCAATGCACCAACCGGACATCAAACATTTAAATTAAAAATCAAAAATAATCAAAACAAAACACCTAAAATCACAAGTAGTCCAAATGTCATTTTCAATGATGATGATAACATTATTAAAACAATTGTACAATCCAAATTCAAAAATGAAAAATTGGTGAAAAAGTACGGATGGAGATGTGATAAAGAAAAAAAAGTCCAATTTTTCACATTCACAAGTTCACAAGATGGAAAACTGTATGTGGTTAAAGTTTTCAAAAAGGAGGGATTTACTTGGGAAAGAGATTTCATACGAGAAGTTTCTTATGTGATTAATATAAGTCATCCCAATATTGTCAGGATTTATGAGGGAGATACATTTACAATTAACGATGTAAAATTTAATTATTACAAAATGGATTATTATACTCATGGCTCTCTTGAAGCATGGGCAAATGAAAGGACAAATCTAAATGAAAAAAGTTTATTAATGATAATGTTACAATTGGTCAATGCTGTAAAATTCATTCAAACTAGAAACATTATTCATAGAGATATTAGACCAGCTAATATACTAATTCAACATATTAATAATAATGATGGAATACCAATAATTGCTCTTGCTGATTTTGAATATGCTACCAAACCAGAAAATTCTTCAGTTAAAGGAAGTATATGTGGAACTCCAAACTATGATCCAAAAATTATAACTCATGGATATTCTTTTAATAGTGATTGTTATTCTATTGGTAGAACAATGTTTGACTTGATTGTTGAGAGTACAAATAATGATAATTCATTATTTGATGATGATGATAATGATCTCAATTCAACCATAAAAGATGATGATAGACCTAAAATAGAAGATTTACTTGAACAAAATATCATTTCAGAAACATTTGCTAAATTAATTTTCAGTTTGTTGGAAGATAGTATTGATCTAGATATATTATGTATCAAGTTACTACAATTATTACAAAAATATATCAAATGGACCGAATATATTAAAGATGAATATATATTAAGTATTATACAATCTAATGTTTATATTGAATTCAAAGTAGTTGAAGAAGATTATACTAATTTTGAATACATTTCAGAACAATCTAAAAATAATTACGAATTCAAAAAAAAATCAGTACAAAAGAATGGACTTGTCATTCAATATTTTACAAATGAAGATAAGAATAATATAGAATTGGTAAAATTAGCTTTCAATAATAATTATAATTCACTTCAATTTGCATCAGAAGAAATAAGAAAAAATTTCAAATTAATGCAAGAATTTTCAGAAAAAGAACCATTATGTTTAGAATATATATTAGATGTTAATAACATTATATATAAACTGAATATGAAAAATCTAGTACAGAAAAATGGATTGGCACTTCAATATGCTACTGAATCAGATAAAAATAATATTGATATTGTAAAACTAGCTGTAAAACAAAATCCACAATCATTAAGATATTCCAGTAAGGATATTAGAGAAAATTTTTTACCATATTCTCTTAAAAGTATATTTGATATTTTTCGAAATTATTCAAATGAATTCACAAAGAATAAGAGAATAGTATTAGAATCTATCAGGGAAAATGTATTAGCTTTTGAATATGCTGATATAGTTTTCAAAAATGATTTTGAATTTATTTGTGAGGCTATTAAATACAACAATAAGATATTATCCTATCTATTTAAATTGAATGATATGGAGGATATTCAAAATATAGTGGATTTAATTGATAAAAGAACCAACAATTTAACTCTAAACAAATGTCCGAGTAATGAATTAATCAACTTTTTAAAAAAAATGAAACAATTAACTTTACTTGATTTTATTTATAATATTGGTGACGAAGGTGCCAAATTAATAAGTGAAATGAAACAATTAACTTCACTTGATATTAGTGAAAATAATATTGGTGTTGAAGGTGCCAAATATATTAGTGAAATGAAACAATTAACTTCACTTAATATATGTAGAAATGAGATCGGTGTTGAAGGTGTCAAATATATTAGTGAAATGAAACAATTAACTTCACTTGATATTAGTTATAATAAGATTGGTGTTGAAGGTGCCAAATATATTAGTGAAATGAAACAATTAACTTCACTTGATATTAGTGAAAATAATATTGGTGTTGAAGGTGCCAAATATATTAGTGAAATGAAACAATTAACTTCACTTGATATTAATTATAATAAGATTGGTGACGAAGGTGCCAAATATATTAGTAAAATGAAACAATTAACTTCACTTAATATACGTAGAAATGAGATTGGTGTTGAAGGTGTCAAATATATTAGTGAAATGAAACAATTAACTTCACTTGATATTAGTTATAATAAGATTGGTGTTGAAGGCGCAAAATACCTTAGTGAAATGAAAACGAAAACAATTTATTGAAATTCAATAATTTCATCCTTATTGGTACATTAATTTCTCTCAAATACCATTAGTGAAATTCATTAATTAACTTCACTTGAATTCATTATAATAAGTTGGTGATTAATTCCTTATACATTATAAAATCAATACAATCTATTTTCACTTCTTTTCCATAGAAATAATATTGGTGTTGAAGGTGTCAAATACATTAGTGAAATGAAACAATTAACTTCACTTGATATTAGTTATAATAAGATTGGTGATGAAGGCGCAAAATACCTTAGTGAAATGAAAACGAAAACAATTTATTGAAATTCAATAATTTCATCCTTATTAGTTACATTAATTTCTCTCTTTAAAACCATTGAAGTATATTCATTAATAATTTCATTTAAATTCTTATTAACTTGAATGATTAATTCCTTTTTAACATTATCAAAATCAATAATTCTTTTTTGACCTCTTTTCCAAACAAGATAAAATCTATAAAAAGCACTTGAATAAGCAATATTAAAAGCATCCATTACAGAATCTTCATACTTGTTAATAAATGATTTTAATTTACCTTCAATTAACATTTTTAAAATCATTTGAGTAATATTTAAAGAAACAACAGCCATTGGAAATGATTGAGTTTGTGATAGAGAATAAATATCTTGAGTTGTTTTTTCATCACTATAAACAAAGAATAATAATTGTAAAATACCTAACATTCCAACTCCTCTTAAATCTGTTTTTGGATCATTTCCTTGAAATCCAATGGCTTCCCAATGTGCTCCAATAGATGGACAATTTTGTTTATCTCCTGTTATTTTTTTATATATTGTAAATAATTGTCTTTCATGTTGTTCAATTTCATGATTTAATGGTATTTGTGTTAAGGCTATTAAAAATTCTTTTTCCTTTCTTATATTTTCATTATCTGTCTTTGAAAAACATGAAAATATTTTACTAAACATGGAATTTGATGATGAATTTGTTAATTTATCTCTTGCTACTTCTATTTCTGTTTTCATTTTAATTGAGTTATAATATTTAATAGTTTCATCATAACTAATATTTAATTCTCTACTATTTAATTCACTTATTTGAACTGTTTGTTGTCCATATTGTTGTTGTTCTCTTAATAATTGTACATCATCCCATTGTTTTTTAACATTTTCATAGGCTTCATTCATATCTTCTTCTTCAATTTGTATTGTTTCATTAGTAATAGTAGTATTTGTTATATTGTTATTAGTTGTATTAATAGTTATTGCTGATGTTGTATTATTGTTATTGGTTAGTAGTGTTAGTAATTTTAATTTGTTCTAATTGTTTAAATTCCTTAGAAATATCATTAGCAGATTCATCCCTATTTGATGTTTGATTCTTTGAAAATTCTTCATCCCAATTATAAGGCTCTTCATCTTTTTCTTCATTAAAATCAATATTTAAGTCATCATCATTCAATTCGTCAACTTCCTTATGGTGGAGATCCATTCTTTTTTTTGTAGTTTTAAATTCAAGTTTGGCGCCAAAATTGTGACTCTTTGCAGGAACACTGTAACAAGAGAAATAACAATTTTATAATTTTGTAAATGATATATTTTATTATATTAAATATTAGTAGTAGTAAAATAACCCAATTAAATTCCTTATTATTCTTATTTAAATATTATTTAAATATTAAATTATTTAATAAAATTAAAAGATTGATGTATTTGTTTAAATAATAATTCAACATTATTATTAAAAGATTTAGAAATGGTATAAGTAGAAATAGAATAAACCATATTATTATATAATAAAGAAGATACCATAAAAGTAAAAGAAGGATCAGAAGTATTCATAGTATAAGTAGAAGTAAAACAATCATGTCCATTATTTAATTGATGAATATATGAATCTATTATTTGTATAGATGAATGTTCTAATAATTGTAATGATGTTTCTTTAACATCTTGAATATTTTTAACATTGGATGGTATTGGTTGTACTGATACCATTGTTTCTAATGTTAATTTATTTAAATATTCAATTATTTCATCATTATCATTTATATTACTATTATTACTAGTAGTAGTATTACTGGTAGTAGTGGTAGTGGTGGTAGTATTACTAGTAGTATTAGTAACAAAAGATACAACTGGTTCTTGATGTGAAAATTGATGAATCATTTGATTACATGGTACTGTTTTCTAATATATTATTATTATTATCAACAATATTACTATCATTATCAACAATATTATCAATATTATTAATAAATTTCAAAGACATTGCAGTTGAAATTGCTTCAGATTTAAAATCATTAAATAATTCCTTTTTACATTTACAATTTAAAATATAAAAATTATTTAAATAATTAAAAATTAAATCTAAATATTCATTATCTTGATCATTATAATTAATAATATCACATAAATAATTTAATTTATCAAAATTATTACCCATATTTAATAATTTAATTTCTTTTACAATATCATCTTTATGATATCTAACTAATGATAAATTATTTTTAAATACATATAATAAAGAAGGTAATAACATTTCAATTTCATCTTTTTTTAATATTGCTTTACCATATATAGTAGGTTTAATTATTTTTAATGTTTTTAAAATATTTCTAATTAAATTAATATTAAAATCATGTATTGTACCACTTCCTAATGAAACTAAATGTTGTACCATATAACATTTAAATTCTTGTGATATACTTGCTATATATGCTTTAATTGTATTATTACTATTTATATCAAATGTTATTTCTATACCTGGTAATCCATTACTTAATTGAAACATTTCTTGTTGTAATATATTTATACTTCCAACTGATTGTTGTTGTAATAATTCTAAATTTTGTTGAGAATATTCAATTGAATCAAAATTCATTATATTTTCTTCAATACTAATTAATATTATAACAGGTGATTCTTTATCTATTATTATTATAATATTATATTGTAATGTAATATTATATTTAATATGTTATATTTAATATGTTATATTATATATTGTAATATGTTATATTTAAATGTTATATGATATTTAATAAATTGTAAAAATAAAAAACATACTATTATTATCAATTAATT